GAAAGCATGTATCGTTCCTACTCTGCCGTGGGGCGCCTCCCCCACCCCAACCGCGTTTTCCCACAGGAGTCCCTCTCAGCGCTGCAGTCAGAGCCTCAGCGTCCAGACTGCAAATGAAGCGCGCATGCACCGGGATTGACGGCGCAAATTGATCACAATAAATAAAATAGCCTGCGCTTTGTAAAGCGAAAAAAGTGATAACATGCAACTTTTTTCAAAAGAAATTAACATGGCACGGAACCACCATGTTTGTTTCGTTTTAAAGTGGGGAAACGTTACGTTAGTTTCTCAGGTAGCTCATCTGATGCTTTCCTTACCGTGTTAGTAGGTTACAGACAGTGATAAGGTTGGCTACTTATTTTACTTTTAATTTCATTTGAATTAGCTTAAGCAGCGTTTACATTTACTTTATAAATTAATTAACTTGCAAATTATGAGGGCAAGGCTTTTAAAGTTTAAATCTTCTGGCAAAGATAAAGTAAAGAAGATCCTGCAATTTATGGAAGTAAAGCAGAATAAAATCCAGCAAGATCAGTAATATGTCAATTATATATGCCACATATATGCCACAAATATGCCACATTCCCATGTAAATATCTGTCTTTGGAGGATGTGTTTTTTAACACCCCTAGTTCTCTCATTTTTATTCCAAATACAATTTATAATTTGAATCACAGGGCTATTTTTATCTCTATGGTTCAGTATTTTCTCAAGTAGCAACTTTAACTGCTATACTTTCCTGTCTTAAAAGGCAGAACTCTTCTAGTCTAAAAAAACTCATTTGTTGAAATGGGGGGGCCTATTGTTTGAACCCCTTAGGGGCTTTTAAAAACAAAAATGTCTTTTTTTGCGCTTTATGAAACAAAGTACCCTATATTTTGTGGATGTACAGCTACATTTCTCATGTGAGTTTGCGTAGTTTTAACACAAACATTTATTTTTCATATTGCACCAGTACAGTTAATGAGCAACCTGTACTTGTGTGCTTGTTTGTTCTGTCTAAAATGTTTATTTTGGAATAAAGAGGTTAATATAAAAAATATTTTTTGTCCGATTCATCGATTAATCGAAAAAATAATCGTCCGATTCATCGATTTTTAAAATAATCGTTAGTTGCAGCCCTAGGTGCCACTAATTACACAGATAAGACATTGTTTTGGAACTTCTTGTTTACAAGTCTTTGTGTGTTTGCATTAAAGAGATGGATTAAATAGGTCTGTTATAATGCTCTGTATGTCCTACACTGACTATCGACATTTGACCCTTTAGCAGGGCTGCCCAAAGTCGGCCCTCGAGGGCAGCTGTCCTGCAGGTTTTAGAGGTTTCCTTGCTTTGGCACAGCTGATTACCATTGATAGCTGATTAACAAGCTTTTGCTAAACTGCAATCATCGGATTCGGCTGTGTTGAGACATGGAAACCACTAGAACCGGTACAATAATAGCCCTCGAGGGGCGACTTTTGGTAGCCCTTCTTTATAGTCTAAATCTTGAAAGTAGTGTCCAATAATTTACATCTAACTGTCAACATGTTTTAATGTATTAACTTCACACATCATCTAGTTGTTGGAAAATATATAATGGTTTCATCTATATGGATATTCGGGCAGATATTATTATTCAATATTAATCTTGGTATTCTGGTCCATAACCAACACAGACTGACATTATGTTATATATATATATATATATTTTTTTTTTTTCTTTCGTTGCCCTTTTAATGTTGTGAACAAACCTCTGACATCACTTCCTTGCTTCAAACACTCTACAATCTTGTGCTGCATCACTTCCACCTTTACCTGCCTCGACAAGTACCACATGAACCAAAATCTCTTTTTAGTATCATCCTAGTTTTACTTTTGGAATAAAAACTGAGATGTTGAAAAATTACACGGATGTGATTTTCTGTATTTATGCTGCAGAAGTGTTTTTTTTTTTTTTTGCAGTCACTTTTTTTTCAAAAGAGATTTTTCAATAATAAATGTTTATAATCGACCTCAAAGTTCATCTCATAGTAATATCAATTCCCTACATATTGTTTAGATCAATGATGGATCTGCTCCAGATCAGGATTTCTTTCATAGGTTACCTGGAATTACCTTTAGTTACGGTTCCCCCAGAGTTATTTCACTTTTAGTGGTTTGCATCATGAAACTGCAAAACAGAATCACCAGTTATTTAGAATAAAATGTAACTATGCTTAAAAAGATAAACATATAGAGTAGAAAAAATATTTTTAAATGGGGGCAGAATTGAAATAGACGGCTTGCAAATGTTACTAAAGAAATCTTTGAACCTATTCACTTGCTGTGTGAGTGATGGTGTAATTTCCTGAATTAGTGCTTGTGTCCTTATTGGTTGCTTCTTTGTAATGCTTGATATTTATATCAAGCATTTTCAAGAACCAGGTGTGATGTATAACTATCTGTAAAAACATTTTTGTCCGTAGACTGACAGCTGGTTACAGAAAGCATTGACCAAATTCTAAAATGCTGTCTATACTATGTATCCTTTGCCTATATATGCTAGTTACTGGCCTTGTTTTTTGTACAGGGGCTGGTGCCTTTCTAAAGTGATCCTGTAGCAGTTCATCACAGGGTCAGTCAGACACACTTGGTGCTGGTTGCCCTCAGGCTTCAGTATGCTTGTACATACTGATGCCTAAGGGCAATTAATTGAGGCAATCTAACGTGACAGCAATCTTTTCTCTTTATATTGTGCAGCTGTATAAAATTCAGGTCACTTCTTTGGCATCTCATTGGAAGCATAATGGTATGGTACTGGTTCTGTAATCATAACCTTGGTATAACCTTTTACTAGCATGGAGCCCAGCTTCATGGACCAAAAGTTAAAAACACAAAAGCTAAAACGGAAAAACCATGGTATAAAAGACTCTCTTCCTGATTTCTGCTAACACCTTGCTGTCTCTTTAAGAAACAACCTGAATGGAAGCAGACATGTCTCAACATATTGTGACATGTTGAAGAATATTGACTCTTTTGAAGTAGTTGTGTTAACATGCTTCCTCTGGCTTTGTTAAAACACCTTATTGATGATAAAAATTACTGCCAGACTGAGTGTCACTTTTAGAAGATTAATTAAAAAAAGGAAACTGCCAATTACTGATCAGAAAATCTGCCATATTAGGTCACAAACTAAATTGATTCATCTATCGTAGAAGCTATTTGCTTAGATAATCTAAAGGCTAAAATGGCCTACAGAACCAATCTGGAGTTACCAAACTTTGAAGAAATGCTGCTGGTTTGGATCAGTGTAAAAGAATATCCGTAGTGCCACCATATGAGCAGTTTGACCTGCCTGACCTGGTGTTCAGTACTTCAGCATGGCGACTGGCCTCGGCTCTGTCTGCAGCTGCGTGATTATCTCAGAGCATCTGTCACCCCCTGGTTTGAACGTCCCTCATATCTACACTGTTCTAAGCCACTGCAGAACTGGCATGGAATTTTACGACTGCTAAATCAGATGTTGGAGAAAAAACTGATTTATAAAGAACATGAGCAAGACACAGAATTCGGCATGAAATGTAAGATGGATGAAAGAGGGAGTCCTTTACTGATGGGTCGAACATTAAATGATTGAAACAGGATTATGGTGAGAAAGGAAAGTGGGATGAAGCGAACGTACAGCCACTCGGTCCAACCCAGGGAGTGGGGAGCTTGTTGCCTTTTGTTGGAGTGACTGAGGCACTCGAGGAGAGTAAATCAGCTCTTTGTTTTTGTGTGCCGCTCCCTTGCATTTCTCCCAGTGTTCACTAATGTAATTAATGGAAAAGAAGCAGGCAATAACATGCCTTAAGATTTAACCGCAGTGAACACCCTAATGCTACTACTTTATTCGAATAAAGCATACTGCTACCCCTATTTGTTTATCATTTATTCTTTTCTAGTGTGAGCAGACCTTTGGGGATCTTTGTCGAGCCTCTTGGCTGAGGGTCCAAAGTTGCTGTTATTTTGGCTGGGCGACTGTAAGATGAGATTTAAATCTTATTCTCCTCTTCTAGTCTTGGTTAACCATGCTGAAAGTCTGCTCGGCTCCCTTCACCCTTGCTTGCCTAAGATCAGGTTGTGCAGTCATCTCAAGGCCAGCTGTGGTTGAAACCTAGACAGCATTGCTGCTTCAAATACATTTAAAAAGCCTCTCTCACATTCAATGAAGTCACTGTCTGGTCCCTGAAGTCAGTCATGGTGGGGGAGAGGTGAAACTTCATCCACTCCCATGACATCAGAGGAGCCACTTCATTCGAGCCTTGCTCCCCACCATAGCTGACCCAAGTATCTGCAATGTTAAACTAAGCGTAGCTTAACTCTGATGGTGGCTGCTTAGGTCACAAGACTTGCCGTTGTGAAGGCATGCTTTGTTCGACAAGAGAAAATTTTTACAGTGGTTCACAGTCTCCCAAAAATCATAATTTTAGATGTTTCAAGGGAAGTTATGAAGCACAGAAGATAATAGAGCCCTCTGTATTTAATAACTGAGCTCAAACAGACGCAGCATTTTGCATGCGAGAACCAATCTAGGCCAGATCTAAAATTAAAACGATTCACTACATCATCAAGCCTTGGAGAGAGACTTGCTTCATGCATGGTAGTAGGCCTTCATATTACAATAATCTTTATCATCCTCTTGGCTTATGTTAATTATTATTTGTTTGTTTCCTCTTCGAAAGTAAATCATTTAAATCTCATGTCATTTAGAAAGCTTTTAGCTCTAAAGTCTGAATAAGAAAATGATTGTCTTTTGTTTCAATAAGAGAATTAAGATGTCGGGTTAGGATGACATTTAAATAGTGAAAATCTGTCTAGAATTATTATTATTTACTTTTATTTTGCTGGGTATATTTGGGTAATTATGTTCTGTACCTTCTTGAAAAAAAGGTATACTGCAAGAGGTGCTGTTTTACTACAATCCTCTTTGTCACATTATTTCATAATGTAGGCCTACTGCAATTTTAACTCTGATGTCCATTCTGTTTTTGTTCCAGGTCAACAGAACATCTGCCCAGCTAGTTCTCAGCTTTGATGCAGAACAGGTACGCCTATTAAGCTTCAGTTACTCTTTTAAGGTTTGTAGATACTTATCTACTAGCAATAAATATTTTTGTTATTGCTGATAATGATTAGAATATTGTAGCAAGGGCTCTAGGGATGAACAAATATGCCAAAAATCTAAATTGTGTTTATTTTCAATCAGTATTGTGATTAAGATTTCCCTTTGCACTAAGCACATGCATGTTGATAATTTACTGCAGGCTTTCAGTTTTTTCATGACCTTGAATGCTTGCTTAACCAGAGTGCAGTGTTTCAGGACATTACTGTAACATTTGCATAAAAAAGTTCTTATCTTTCCTGTAATGCATAGATCTAGGGGCTAGCTGCAACTCTCTCGTCCCTCCTGTGCGACAGCCTCCCCACTTTAATTGTATTACCGCCACCTAAAGGGCTGGAGGGAGACCTGTAGTGACTTACTCTTGTTAAATGTATTGCCAATAAAAAACGAGTGCTTCTGTGATTTGAAAATTGGATATTTCTAAATTGCAGTTATATTGCTAATACAGTTAATTGTCCAGCCATAGTTCCTACAGTTACCTTCCATCCCCTTTTTCGGCCTTTATAATGTTCTTTCCTTTCCTCCTCATATTCTCCTTTTGTCCTTTCATAGCCTTTTCTCATTCCTCCCTCCCCAATTCTTCACTTCCTTTACCCTCCCTCCTTACCTTCCGAACCTCCCTTCCTTTCAGTTCCTAATTCCCTTCCCTGTGCTGTACTCATCTCCTTTCTTTTAGCCTTCATTCCTCTCCTTCCTCATGAATTGTGAATTTCTTAAAAAGAAAGGTCCGTTATATTAAAATAGAAAATCCATAGAAACCTTTTGAGCTCTTGAATCTTAGGCATATGCTTATATTTGGTTCCAGGTGGCAACTTTATTAGGGTCAGTAGCATGTATATGCAGTAGAATAAAAAAAAATAGATTTTATAGATTTTAAATTGTTTATATTAGGATTATGTTTGTGAAGCACTTCTTTACTTGTGATTTTCCAAATCCCATTAATCATTTTTTTGGGGGGGGATTAGCAGATATTCTGTCTTAATATGAATTTCGTTATTGTTAATAGTTAGTGTTTCAGCTGCTCTCTTCACAGCTCCTCTGGGACAGCTGGGGATATCTGAGCATAGCAGAACAGATCATATGACACACAGACTGGATGCAGCAGTCTTTATTTTATAATCCATGCTCTCAGTAAGGTTAAAGATGAAATTGTCAGGGAAAGTCTATATTTCTCTTCAGTAACATTATGTGGGCAGATTAAAATACAGCTGCACAAAGCAAACACACAATGAACTCTTGTAAATTATTCAGATCGGAATCGACTTCATTAACTCGGTTTGAATGCACAAAGCATGAATTTGACTTCAGTCGACATTAAACCAAACATTAAGGATAAGGAGCAGCATGTACACGTGTCTGTGTGAGAATATGTGTTTGTGTGTACTAAACATCTATTTTTTTATTTTTTTCAAAAGAAGGAAGGCAGATTGTGATTAGCCTTGCAAAAGTCAACCTGTATTGGGAAAATGACTGATAATGTTGATCAAGAATGCAGTAACATGACTTGCTATATTTAATCAAATACTTCCGTGTTAATCAGGTTAAAATTGTTTCATTGCAGACATGCAAAATGTATCTTTTAGACTACAGTCTTCCTTGTAATTTACTTAACAAAACCCTTTTTACGCCAAAAAGTGACAGAAAATATATATTAGTTGCATAGAGGGCCTGAATGTGTAATACTTGGATTAATATTTTAATTACATTATGAGTTCTTTTTGACAGTATTAATCTTGCAATTGATGATATTCCAACAAAGATTTTGATGCCTCTTGCCTCTCTGCATCAGTCCCCCCAGGTCAAGATGACTGAAGAGGTGATTGTCATCGCCAAGTTTGACTACATGGCTCAACAGGACCAGGAGCTAGACATCAAGAAGAACGAGCGCCTCTGGCTACTCGACGACTCCAAATCCTGGTGGAGGGTCCGCAATGCCACCAACAAAACCGGCTTCGTCCCGTCCAACTATGTGGAGAGGAAAAACAGCGCCAGGAAGGCCTCCATTGTCAAGAACCTGAAAGACACGCTCGGTAAATGAAATTAATTCTTGTGATTAAGCTTAAAGGGGCTCGTCCTCCACATGCAGATTTATGTTTTTGCATTCGCTGAGTCAAAGTTGCAGCAAAGGCCTTATCTAGGCCGACTTTCATTAATTTTTTCAACTTAGATAATCACAGGTCTGTTTTTAAACTATGTAGTTCCCAGCTGCAGACATCAATGCCAAGGTTATAGGTTGTGCTCAATTCTTTTTCAAGAAGCAGTGCCCTGGTAATTGGTGTGCCATGTGTAATTTCTTTTTTTTGTGTAGCGTAATTTAGTATTTTTTTCTGCATTTGACCTTAATGAAAGACATGATAAAGCAGTTGTTTTAATTGGTGTACTTGATTATGGTTGCAGAGCTAAGTTGTTACTACAATCTGTTAGTCTTTAGGTATTTGGTCACTGTTGCAACCTTCTCAAGCAAACAAGTTTGTTTTGTGGGACTGTTTCTTTACCGCATCATTCCCACTGCAGGAACCGGAGCCATATCCTATAAGTAGGGTAGAAATCTATCCCTAAAATATGCCCCTGGCATGATGGTTGAATCTTATCTGCATATTGCATATTCTGTTGCAGTATTAATGTGTAATAATAATAACTGAACTTTATTGATCTCACACTGGAGAAATCTACCCCTGCATTTAACCCATCCCCTTGGGGAACAGTGGGCTGCCATTGTGCGGCTCCTGGGGAGCAGTGTGGGGTTAAGTGTTTTGCTCAGAGACCCAGAGTGCAGCCTGTGGGAATCAAACCGGATACTTTCAACCTCCTCAGAGGACAGACGCACTGCTCTAACCCCTTAGGCCAACACTCCCCCGTAAAATGATCTTTACAAATGACTCCTCTAATACAGTATTAAGGTAGTATGTTGTATTTTAAAGTTCCATACATAACATTTCTACATGCCAATGATACTCCATGAGAGCTGGGTAAACTTAAACTGCCCTTGGGAAGGTTTTGTCAAATTTAGAAGAGGATGACTTGACCTGGAGCTGACCTTAGCTGAACATATTACAGCACAGTTGTCCTGGTTTATTCTTTTGAGCTGTCATCCTGTGTCTGTCACGCAGGATGTAGAAATGTTGACAACTTTCTGGAAATCTTAGTCTTAGTGAGCGTCTACCTTTTTTTTTGTTTAGGTTTATGTTTCACATTGGCAACTGGGTCAGCTGTTCTCATACCTATTGTTGACTGTTGTTCTGTTGGAATAATATCACTTGTTCAAGCCTTATCCAACATTCCACCGAGGCTGGATAATAATCAGATATCAAGCCTAGAGGAGGGGGAGCTGTGGCATGAGGGAGGGAAAGAGAGATGTATCTTAACACGATAAGTAGGAAAGAAAAGCTGGTAAATACCTGCTTGTAGTTCCAATATATGTTTAAAGCTCTGCATGAGTGGTTATACTAATCAATTGTATTGGTATGATTCTCTTCTCATAAAAAGGAGGCAATGACAGAGAAACTGTGAAATATATGGAGGGAGAGATAATCACCCACTTATTTGGATATATAGTCTGAAGTCTTGAAGCTCCAAATAAAGATTATTTTTATTATCATATTATTTTTACTATTATATTGAGTATTCCTAAAATTTTATTTTGGAAGAGTTTTGTAGAAATGGAAAAACATTTTTCATAAGTTTGCACAGGCATCTATTTGGGTTTTTCTAAAGTTTTTTTTTATATTGTTTATACAAACAATACAAACAAAACTGAGAAATATATTGAGATGCAACTTCAATCCATGTCCTCCAGCCTTACATGCAACTCTACAAGAATCAGTATATCGGCTCAGTATAGGTTTTGGTCAATTTAAATAACTGGTGTGTCTTTGTATCAGAAGTGAAAAGTTGTACGTTGGGAGATCCCTAATTATTACCGCCATTTTCATTAGTCATATTTCAGGAGTATAGATCCTGGGCTAAATTATATATATTATACACGGCCCTTTAACTTCACATTACCCGCTGCAGGTTTAGAAATCGCACATGGCCTGTGCGATGGGATCCATAAAAGGAGAGTTTTTTTTGTTGTGTTATTAACACGGAGCCATTAATCTATGCTATCAGGCATTGTCGCTTTTACTGTAATAAGACATCCACTAACTCATAAAACACTAAGAACAAATTTGACTTCAGGACTTTTGCTCTTGTTGATGTGATGGAGCAGTTGTGCTTTTATAGGAGGATCATTCAGAGTGAATGATGGCTCTAAAGTAGTTTTTCCATGAACAAAAGATAAAGGAAGAAAAAAAAGGGTCCTTATGTAATTTTTATAACTATCTCGCACTCACCAGTGTTTGCAAAACACTTATCTGTGGGAAATGTGAATTGTGACTTCCCTTTTGCTCTTGTTAGTGTCTGAGTGCATGCACTACAGCTATAGTGTGATATTTTGAAACGTTGAGTAAAAGAGAAATTGTTACTTTTATATCCCAAAACTAATGACTTAAGCAGGGATATTCTTTGACTGCTCTATAAACTTTAAGCCGTCTGTCCCGCATATGTTGCCCTAAGGATCTGGCTTTATACGCCATTATTTTCGCCGTGTAGGGTTTTTGTGTGCTAGTGGGAGATTATGTTGCTGTAAACAAAAGCTGAAGGCCTCTCAACAACAACCCAGCTGTCACTGTATCAGATCATCAAATTATTTAAGAACAGCTGCGTGACTGTCACAAACACAACTCACGCCTAACTTACTGTATACTCTAAATGAAACATGAGTCGAAGGTGTAGCAGTGTGTGTAAAAATTGAACACAGTCCTAGAAGGACCTGTTCTACAGCGTCTTGCAAAAGCATTTGCAAGCCAGATTAATCATGTGTAGCATTCTGTTTTACTTTTACACATGATTAATCTGGGACTCCTTCAATTGAATCTGTTCAGGGAAAGAATGGACATCCAGGGGATCTTCTCTTCAGTTGGATGAAGCAACAACTAGTGCCTGCTTTCCCATGTTTGGTTTTTGCCAATCACGGATACAGATGCCACGGGAAACCGCAACTTCCACTTATACATTCTTGATGTTCCTCTTTCTAAGATAGAATCATCAATTTGCACAAAGTTGATGTAATGGCAACATCTACATGAAATCTGTTTTCAGGGGGCAAAAGACCTTAGATAAATACTACTTTTTGCCCAAAAGAGTGAATATTCTGTTAATTGTTTTGTACTACATTCCATTTTATTTGCTAAATTCTGTGATTCCGTCCACGTTTTCTGCATCGCAGAAATGGTTTAGCCCTGTACGTCTACATCCTCCTGGGCTGCCATTATTATTTTTATTACCTTATTATTACACAGCTTCATATACCACCTTCAACCGTGAAGCTAGATTTATACTTGCCGCATTGAACCAGACCCAAAGGAGTGTGCACCAAAGGTCACGCTATCAGAGTGTGCACCTTGGTTGTGCTCCTTCAAAATGTTTGTAACTCGGCGCCGACCGTAGGCGCCAGCTCCATTGCAAGTAGGTGGAATCGAAGCTGCCCTCCCTGTATTGATATCAGAGTTTGCTTTTGTTAAACGCTGTAGCGTTGCGGTTTATTCTATGTCTGAATCAATACAAAAATATTTACAAAAATAAAGCTATAATAATCTTTTCAATACAGCGATCTACCATTTTGGAAATTGCACGTCAATATATCGCTAGAATTCAGTTTACATGCCTCATTTTTCAGCGGGTTTTTTCTGTTTCTTCCACTTAACATATTTAAGCTACTTTGTGTGACACTATTGCATAAAATCCTTACAGTTTATTAGCTGTTTTTAGTTGTGAAGTGAAAGGATTATGCACACGTTTTTCCCAGGTATTGTATAATCTATGGTTTAGCAATGCTGCTTTCCTAATCTGTACAGTGGGCAGTTTGCTCCTTCTTGTTAATATATGTGGGCGAGCGAGAGAAGCAGCTTTGGGCTCACACTCTAATATGTTATGTGGGAGGAACCGTTTATCTTTTTGTTGCTGGGTGTGAGCTTGCCTCATCTGCCTGCAAAGGGCTGTCTAACTGTTTGGAAGTGTTTCGGTGTTTAAGGGATCTTTCTCCCTGGGTCTGTTATAAAGATGCAAGTGTGTCTCAAACAGCTTTTGTCATGTGACATGAGGATTCAGTCACTTAAACTGATGCCAGGGATTCCTGCTTTTTTTTTAAAGTTATTTTAACCAACTCTTGTTTCTCATCTGGAAAATAGCTTCTTAGTTAGCATCTAGATCTTTTCTTTCTGTGTCTAAGCCCCCCCCCCCCCACACACACTCCCTCCTATTCCCCATTCTTCCTTACTACTTCACTCCATGAGGCCACTTGCACTCTTCCTTTCCAGAGCTGATCTGGGGCCTCTGTAACCTGCCCTCATTGGCTAACCCCTGATCACATGGTCAGTAAGTGGGCCGCCCTTGTCTACAGTCCGCCCAGCTCTCAGGGTGTTCACATGGAATAACTTCACAGCTGCAGTGGGAAGAGAGCAGGGGCTGGGAAAACGACGGAGAGAAGGGGGAGAGCCAGCGAGCCCAAAATGGACATGGCTAACCTATTCAAACATTTCTTTCGTGAGTTTAAATCTTTTCTAGCCTTCAGTGTCTCCAGGAATTTTTTTTCTGGCTTTGTTTGGCTTTTGATCACTTTAAAATCTTTTTTCTCTGAACTTTAAGTAGTTGTGTGTCTTTTAACTCTACAAGAAAAGCTGTCAAGGCTCTTAAAGATGTTTTGCTTTGGCTAAAGAACTGCTCTAAGCTTACCCACAGAAAGTTAAAGATTTGAGCAATCGGGTAAAGATTTGAGTGTGAACCGGTTTGGTCTGACAAAGAGAGGTTGTCTCAGTCTGTGTGAGCGGCTGGGTGGCTTTGCTTTTGAAAGCCCTCTGCTGAGCTGAAGCCTGTAATTGCCCCGGCAATCCTTCTTTCTTTGAAAGGCACACTTAGGCAGAAATCTTGCTTCATTGTTTTCTTCTTGCGTTTTAGCTAACTGAGGTGGGATACAACTTGGTGGATTACA